TGTGTGTCTGTGTGTCTCTGTATGTGTGTCTGTGTCTGTGTGTGTGTGTGTGTGTGTGTGTGTGTGTCTATCAGCCTCAGTCAGATTCAGAGGAAACGTTTCATCACTCAGACGCCAACGTCCAAACAAACTTTCATCATCCAGTTAGAGTGAAGACCACACCCACCTTATCTGAGGGGCAGTTGGGCGGGGCTCGATCTCACCGCCCAGCCCGGCCATCGCACTCTGATCCTGACGATCGGCCTGCGGCGCCGAGCCTGACGATCACAAAGTGTCTCTAAACAACAATCAGGGCCCCTCCTCCTCCTGCTCCGTGTGACCTCAGCTGTAATGAGTCTGATCATGAAAAGAGCTTCAGATGATGATGATGATGATGATGAGGAGGAGGAGGAGGAGGAGGAGGAGGAGGGGAAACAGTTTAATGCTCTTCCTACAGGGAGGGTTTCCCTGAGAGAGAGCGCATGACGTCAAACCCACGCCGGCGTTTCCGTCCTCCGTCTGAAACCTGACCTCCGGAGCAGGATTTCTAACAACGTTAAACATTCACCAGAGCCACAGCGGTGTCCTCATGTGTGCACACCTGCAGCACACCTGTAAACACGTGCAGTCTCAGCGGTTTTTGGAAGAAGCTGCTGCTGTCAGCTCGACTGTGTGGACCTAAAATATGAGAAGCGAGCATGTAAAACCACCAAGATCAGCTGGGCGCCGCGGCGTGCTGGAAACATGACCCACAGAGTTACACAAAGTATCCTTTTTCTGTGCAGCCACTTTAAAAAGTGGTGAAAAGCAGGAAGTCGTTCTGTATTTGAAATACAGAACGAGTATTAGAAGTCCAGCTTCACATTTTCCAAGTGAGGCCGAGTGGAGCCTTTGCTGGGCTCAAAGCAGGCCCCGGGCCTTATGTTTGACACCCGTGATCTAATGATGCAGCGACGTGTTTGTGCGTTTGTGTGGTTCTGGTGCCGACTGACTGAGATGTTCATGCTCTGCCGTGGCTTCACTTGCCGAGACGCTGGCAGCAGATCGATGACGCCTGTCACCGTGGCGATCGCACGTTTGATCGGACTGAGATCTGGAGGCTGAGGCGACTCCGTGACATCCGTCTCGTGTCCCTGAAGCCGTCTGCAGTGTGGCAGGAAGTATCATCGTACCGCAGCCATCCTAACAAAGTGTGTGGCACACGTTACTAATGTTTTGTCATCAGCAGCGGGGCCGCTCGTGAACATGAACGTGACGATGGATCACTGTGGGACGTTTCCATGGTTTGCTCCAGAATAAGAACTCTGACTCGCTCCCTCACTGTGTGGCACAGGTGTGTCTGCACACCTGGTTTAATGCCATCAGCAGAGCTTCATCTGTGGCACATATGCATGCCTATGATCGTATATGAGATGGCTTGCTGTGGCTGGAAACATTAGGACCCAGGAGCAGGGCTGATGTGGAGGAGGAGGAGGAGGAGGAGGAGGAGGAGGAGGAGGAGGAGGAGTGGGAGGGAGGAGGAGAAAAACGCAGCAAAGAAAGACAAATGATGGGAGAGGAGATAAAACAGAGAGACAGAGAGACGCTGGGGAGACGTTCAGGAAACGAGTGCAGACAGACACTGACAGCTTCAGATCCACTGAGAGATACGGAGGAAGGAGGAGGGGCGGGAGGAGGAGGTGGAGGAGGAGGAGTCAGGGAGGCAGATAAAGAGCAGAGGCAGCAGCAGAGGGAGCAGAACGCAAACGCTGGCCTACAGGAGAGACGCCATCACTCATCTGCAGCGTCAGAGAAGAGAGGAGAGGAGGAGGAGCACCCGAACCACCCACCAGGAGGAGGTTTCTCCCAGACAGACGCTGACTTACTCCAGCTCACAGACAACGGGGAAACCAGCAAAACTCAGCAGGAGATCCCTCCACGCTGATCCCAGAGGCGCTGGCTCACAGAGGTGCATCATGGGAACTTCTTAGACCTGTACCCACCTGAGCACCGTCCACACACAGCATGCTGGCCAGGTTATCCCAAAGGAAGAGCGCTCCAGGAGGAGCCAGAGGGCTGCTGCTGCTCCCTCTGCTCCTCACAATGATGATGATGGTGGTGACGATGGTGAAGGCTGCCAGCGTTGATGAGGTGGAGAGCGAGGAGGGTCAGGAGATCATGGAGGACGAGGAGGCCGTCAGTGGAGAGCTGCAGGTGAGTTTAACTGACCTGAGATCAGCCTGATGATCCATCAGCTAACTGACGTTTGGCGTTCGATAATGTGAACAAAGCACACAGAGCTCCACGTGAACGCCGAGGGTTTGCTGAGGCGGGCCAGCGTAGTGTAGATGGCGCCTGAGCTGATGAGTCAGTGTGTGTGGTTTGTGTCCTCCAGGACCTGACCTCCTCGGAGTCGGGCAGAGTGTCTCCTCATAGCTCCTGGCTCATCTTCAGAAGGAACTCCAACAGAGGGGACAACCGCAGAAGCAAAGGGCCCCGGAGAACCTCCAAGGTCAGAAACACCTTCACCCGAAACCCACAGTTGAAAGCTCCCCTGCAGGGGAAACTGCGCCCAGTTCAAAGATCCGGTGGCTCAGATATGAGAGCTCCACCGCAGCTGAAGTTCTGATCATTACCTGATGAGTGTTTGAGTGCATCAGCTTTGCTCTGCTGAAGCTCGTTATTCAAAGACGTCTTAGTCACACATTCTGCTGCTGGACTTATCATTTGTTAAATATAAGTAATACTTTGCCTCCTGACACATGTACCTGACTGCTGTTTGTGTGTCCTGCAGCATGGTCTTCCAGGCCCTCCAGGCCCTCCAGGACCTCAGGGGCCTCCTGGTCCACCTGCAGCCCTCCTGCCCCAACAACAGGAGCTGATCCAGGAGCTGAAGGTGAAGCTAAAAGGTGAGACCTCCAAACACGTCAGCACAGAATTAAAATAATAATAATAATAATAATTGCATTTATATAGCGCTTTTCTAGGCACCCAAAGCGCTTTACAATACCACTATTCAGTCACTCTCACATTCGCACACTGGTGGAGGCTACAGGTGTAGCCACAGCTGCCCTGGGGCAGACTGACAGAGGCGAGGCTGCCATATCGTGCCATCGGCCCCTCTGGCCATCACCAGTAGGCGGTAGGTGAAGTGTCTTGCCCAGGGACACAACAACCAACCAGGAGAGCTGGGGGATTGAACCGGCAACCTTCCGGTTACAGATGAGCTTCCCAACCCCTGAACCACAGTCGCAGTTAGCAGTTCCTCAGTGGTCCAGCAGAGGCAGCAGTGATCCATGATAAAAATACAGCAGACCTAGCTCACCTGTTTGAATTTTTGCATTATTAGGGGCGTGGCCTCACAGATGAGCAACATCTGAAATTCTGGGATTTTGGTTGGCTGTTACTGTTACCCCCCCCCCC